GGCTCCAAAGCCACAGAGAAACCCTGTCTCGAAAAACCAAATAAATAAATAAATAAAATAAAGCCACCACAGCCTGGCCACCACTAAAATACTAAGAGAAGGCTAGTGACAGCTTCAGAACTCTGTAATCATCTCAGGCTTGTTGCATTAGGAGCGGCGGGGCTGCGTCCCCGGCACCCGGCCGCCCGCATGGCTAGCTTATGCCCGAAATAATTACATGGAAACTGTATTCTTTCAAACACTGCCTGGCCCGGCTAGTTCCAGTTTCTTATTGGTTAGCTCTTTCATATTGTTCTAACCCATTTCTAATATTCTGTGTAGCCCACAAGCTGGCTTACCAGGGAGGATCTTAACCTGCATCTGTCTGGAGCGGGAGAATCATGGCGACTCCTTCACTAAGCTTCTTTCTCCCAGAATTCTCTCCTGTTTTCTCCACCCACCTAAGGGTGGGCCTATCAAGGGGCCTAGGCAGTTTCTTTATTAATAAGAAATCACTCCCACATCACAGGCTGTTCTGTGTTCATTATTTATATTGATTTAGGTAATCTTGCTGTTGCCTTGAAGTATTTATTTCTTAACTTTTCAACAGTCACAAAACTAAAATTAATTTTAATTAATAATGAATTTTTTTAAATACACATGAAATTTTATTCTAAAAAGAGATCTTTTACCATGATGTATCAAAAACTGGCCAGTAAAATAAAATAATGTGTTTTGTTTTCCAAGATTCGAAATAATCCCAACTCTAATATACTGCTAATGCTCACTTGTCTGTATTGTAATTACTCCTTTTATAGATTATCTAAAAAAATTTGAAATGGAACTTAAAAGTTAAACTTATTAAGAAATGAATTTTAGTTTAATTTTAAATGATTTGTGTGTGCGTACGAGAGCCCACGGAAGCCGGAAGTTGTCCATCCCCCGGACCTATAGCTACAGGTGCTTGGGAGTGACACTCCTGCCATGGGGGCTGGGAGTCTAACTAGGGTCCTCTGGAAGAACAGCGTGTGCTCATCATTGCTGAGCCAGCTCTCCGGGCCCCAAATGACAATTTTAAAACTGAGATAAGTCAACATCCTAACTTCAGATTTGCCCCCAAAGGAATAGTCACTGCAATAATAGCTAATAAAGGCTATTTCCCTATCCTATCATGAATTTGTGATGCAGATTTAATTCATGACAGAACCTCATCATTCTCAGTGTATATAGCTGTTTCCACAACTCAGTCATTATCAAACGGCAGATCTCGGCACCGCATCTGGGGACTCTGTGGGCAGCTGGATGTAGGAAGAAGCTCCCTGACAAAGGACAGGCAGGAAGGAGAGGGGCCAGAGATGGACAGGGCAGATGGTAGCAGAGGTAAATAAGCATGAGTTATTGCAAGTTCCTGTTCCCCAAAGTGCTTTTTGTCCATTTGGAGTCTTCTTTCTACCAAGGCAATTTCCTTTTTTTCTGTCCAGAACTCTGAAAGAGCTATCAAGTTCAATTTGAAGCCTTTCTGTGAAATCCCAATAACTGGTCATTTTGCACAGTTTGGGGAAAATAGCCACTCGTTTTTAAGGAAAAACAGAAAAAAAAATCTGAAAAATTGTCATTTTACAGAACTGTAGTACTGAGCCTCCAAAGCATACGTGGATAACCCAAACCCAGCCACCACGTCTACCATCTGAGTACCCAGTTAGCCAGTCACTTTCACCTGAAGCCGCTAAACTGATGATACAAGAGTCAACACCTCCACAAGCGCTCGCAAAGACACTGCTTCTCATGTCACTTGGGCTCTACTGTATAATGAAAATATTGGGAAGCCAACAACACCATGAGTTTTGTTTGAGGCTTAGAGGTTCGTTTAACCATTAGTCGTGCTGGGGTTTGGGGATTATTTTAATTTAGGAATGCAAAAGGAGAGCAAATAGCGATGAGGGCCCTGGCATTTAGCAAGGCCTTAAGTGTGTGTTTGTGTGTGTACGTGTGTAGGTGTGTGTATAAATTTCAGTTAGTCTTGTGAACTCTAGTATAAAAATGGCTATGATTATTCAGTATATACCATATGTAAGGGCTATGCTAAAGGCTTGAATTCATTCTCCTATATAAACGCACGACTATTCTGTAAGACAAATGTTATGTTTTAATAAAAAAATGAGAGAACTGGGCCAGTGGGAAGGCTCAGCGGGTAGAGGCGCTGCTTGCCAAGTATGACACACATCCTGAGTTCCACCCCCACAAGCTGAGAGAGGGAACCTACTCCGTAAGTCATGCTCTGATCTCCATACACGAGCGGCAGATGTGTGTGCCCGCGGACACACACAAACGCACGGACTTTCAGAACCTAACTCCTAGAGGAGGGAAATAGGAGATCCATGGCCTTCTAGTAAAGCAAAAGAGCCTTAAAACTTGTTTAAATACAGTTTCTTTTGTTAAACTACCAACAAAATGCCACCACATGCAGACCTTTTAAGTGAAGGTAAATTTCATAATACCATTTTGCTACAACTCCTAATATTTTGACTTATTCACTGGTATTTCTATGATATGGGCCAAAATACTATTTTGATTATAAACAAGTACTCAAAAGTAAAGAAGTTATTGAATAATGAAGTTGAATATGAGTTAAAATGAATGCTTTAGTACGTATTTCATAGTAGTCTGGGATATTTAATTTTTTGGAAGTATATATGTGTGTGCACATGTGTGAAATCTACAAGGATTTCTGGGTTGCTCCCCACCTCCATCTTTAGTCTTTATTTTAGTTTATTTCTTTATTGAAACAGGAATCTTTCACTGAATTTATTGTTCATCCTTTTGGCCACGAACGCCATGGATTTTCCAGTCTCCACGTCCACAGTCCCCACAGTCTCCCAGTGCTGGGGTTGTGGGTGGCTGCCTGCATCTGCCTGCATCCGGCTTTATGTGAGTGCTGTGAATGCCAACTCAGTTTCCCACGTTTACATGACCATCACTTTAGTGATGGAACCATCTTCCCTGCCTTATTATCTATATGTTCAATTATATTTTATAGTCTTTTATGAATCAGTTTAAAGCAATTGTCTGAATTTTTTTTTTTTTTTTTTTCGAGGCAGGGTTTCTCTGTGGCTTTGGAGCCTGTCCTGGAACTAGTTCTGTGGACCAGGCTGGCCTTGAACTCACAGAGATCCACCTGCCTCTGCCTCCCGAGTGCTGGGATTAAAGGCGTGCACCACCATAGCCAGGCAAAAAGCAGATTCTTAACATTCAAACTTATAAAATTACTTAAATCCCTCAGATGGAAAAAATTCTTGTTTCCTTGGTTCTCTGATATATATATATATATATATATGGGAGAACTCAACCTGTTTTTAATTAAGTAATTAATATTATTATTTTTGAGACAGGTTTCTCCAGGTAGGCCTGGGCTGACTTCTGCTTCAGAAGTCACTGTGCCACCATGTCCTGCTCAACCTTTTTTTTTTTTTTAAGGTCACTGAACTAGCAGGCAGCAATCTGGGTGCTAGTTTTGGCAGTAATCTGTCACTCAAGGTCTCCTTGAGGACAGTCTCAATTTCTTGAGCTGTAAGCGAGAGGATCGCCCTGGCCCTCAAAGGACATTTAGAGCCAAAATAATTTATGGCACAAGGAATTTGGCCAGGCCTGGATCAACTTTTTATGATAATAAAGAATGAATTCACAAAGCAGATACATTCAGTAACTGAGAGAAGAGGGCTTGCCATTGCTGTTTGCAAGCTGAGCAGATACAATGTATTTCCTGTCCTTTTCACTAGTCTCCATGGGAAGACCAGGGTGCAGAGAGAGGACAGGGACAGGATGTCCTTCCCTTGCAAGTCACTCACCAGCTTCTATCTCTACTTTTTCTTTTTCATGCCCATCGGAACAAGATTACAAATTTGTTGCTAGCGAGACAATTAAATAATTACTTAATTTCATTCTCATTTCTGAAATGTTCTTCAGGCATCTTCCTTTCTCCCGTCGGCGTGGTGTGAAGTTTTAGTGATAGTAGTTATGAAGGAGCACAGAGAGAGAAAGTACTGGCAAGTCACTTAAGAAGGAAGGATTTTGGTGTGCCTTTGGTGTTAAAGGTCAATTGCCCAAGAAATTGGGAAAGCGACAAGTGAAAGGAAGCGGTTCCTGGGTATTCAAGGACGCAGTGAAGCAAAGAGGGACTTTGCTACTCCTGAGAGTAGCCGGTAGGACTCTGTGACTCTACATGTATGTCAATCTCCTTTTGATGACAAGAACTGTGACATCTATCTTTATATTCTCGGCACGACATAGAACTGACAATAAAATGCTTGTTCAAGTGAACTGGGTAAAAACTGTGCGGCAATGACGGGAAAAACGAGATTGAACAAGCAGCACTTGTTACTAGAGATCTAAAACTTTCACAGAATTCACCGAAGGATTACAACAGAGAAAGGGATTTGAGATTATAAGTGTTAGACTAGAATTTGGAAGAAGTCCTCCAAAACCGCAAATGTGAAATTTCAGCAGAGACCACAGTGCCTCCTAAGCAAAACCGATCTGTCAACAAAACTGAGTCCCTCGGGAGAAAGGAGGGCAGGCGCGACCGTGACCCCTGGTCCAGGGGTGTCGGGGCTCCGATGAACCCCCAGATGGGCGACGAGGGAGAGGACCCACCGGATGGCTTGCTTTGAGCTTTTTTCTTAACCAAACGACCAGGAAGCCTTAAAATATGTGCAGCTGGGGCTGGTACTTGGAGTGATAACTTCCGCGTGTGAGTATGCAACAGGGAGCGCCGCCCGCGAACTTCCGCGTGAAGGGAGCCTCCGGCGGCTCGCCCCAAGGGCACGGCCCCGCCGCACCGCGGGAGAGGAAACCCGCGCAGCCCCGAGGGGAGGGCGTGGCGAGGAAGGGGCGTGGCCTCAGCCCCGCCTCGGAGAGGCGCAGCCCCACAGGCAGCCAGGTTCGCCACGCCCCGGGACTACATTTCCCGGCAAGCCCCGTGGGCTGCAGTTGACCCACTTCCCGGCCCGTCACGGGCTCGCCCGGCCCCCGCGCCCAGGCGGCTGCTCCCTGCTGACTGGGGTGTGGGCGGGGAGCGGCGGAGGGAGGAGGCAGAGCTGGCCGCCGCAGTTTGCCGCCGCTGCTGGGCGCCTAGGCAGAGCTCCCCGGGGTTCGTGCGGGCGCCATGGACGAGCAGGCGGGTCCCGGCGTCTTCTTCAGCAACAACCACCCGGGTGCTGGCGGTGCTAAGGGACTCGGGCCTCTGGCGGAGGCTGCAGCGGCCGGAGACGGGGCGGCTGCGGCGGGGGCGGCCCGAGCTCAGTACAGCCTCCCCGGGATCTTGCACTTCCTGCAGCACGAATGGGCCCGCTTCGAGGTGGAGAGAGCCCAGTGGGAGGTGGAGCGGGCGGAGCTGCAGGTAAAGACCCTCCCGGCCTGGCCATCTTCATCCCGCCTCTTCTCTCTCTTCCGCCCCGCCCCGGACCCTTCGCCCCCCTCCCCCAGCCCACTCGCGTCCCCTCCCCCTTGCCTCGAGCCCATCACTTCCAGAATCTCATCCCCCTCCCCCTCTTCCTCCAGTCACCTTTGGCTTTTGCTGACCCCATTTCCTAGACCCTGTTTCCCGCTCCCTCTCCTAATGCCTTTACCCTCCCGGAGCCTTTGCATCGGCTGTTTTCCCTCTCTCAACTCCCGTGTTCATTTCAACTGTTTGCCATGCCACATCATGGGATGTCCCTTTCGGTTTAACTGATTGGGCTGACAGTAGTTTTGAGAGCCTCTGAGCAGATCGTCCTGGCTCAATGTGATGCACCCGAGGTCTAGGGACATTTCATCGCCAAAGGTTTTGGCAGTTGCCTAGTCTCTCTGCAAGGAAGGTGACCAGAGAAGACAACCCAAGTTGTATCGGCGAGGCCCTGGCTTTCTGCGAAAAGCTGGCGTAGGGCTAGAGTGGTACTAACAGGATCAGCTCCAGTTTTCTGACCGAAAATGGCTCTTCACTCCCTTTCTGCCCCTTCACCCCCTCCCGCTTTTCGTTTAGATTCGCAGGTTTTTCAATGAAGGAAACTTGATGGGAGTCAGCTGAGTCTGAGATGGACCTATTCGCAGGCTCCAAAACTTCCTGAGAGTTGATGTGCTGTTTAGTGTTTTGCAAGATTGACATGTACTTTACCAGGAACTAAAGGGGCTTCAGTGGTACGTTGCCTTCTTGCATAATCTGCAAGATAAAGCGCATCTGACAGAGGGGAGCTGTTGTGGGCCCGCGAAGAACGAGAGGTTGATGCTTCCCTGGCCATTCAGTGGCTGTTTATAAAACTTGTAACACACACTAATTGCCAAAGGAACCCAAGGAGCTGTGAGTGGTTGTGCCTCCCTGTTTCTTGGGCTAATCCTGCATGCTCATGAAATTGGAGCACAGTTTTAGTTTGTGAAGCACTTGAAGTGTGTTACTTTTTTTGGTCTTTTTTTTTTTCTTTGCACAAAAAAAAAAAAAAAAAAAAACAGAAAGAAAACTCCGCTGAAGAGACTCCTTTAAGCAGTGCACGGCCTTGTGAGGCTGGCTTGGTGTTCAGGCGGCTATGGAAGGCGCAAACAGGCAGGGTTGTAGTAAGTAGGTCTATATTAAAGACTGTGCCAGCTTGTGACCTTGAGGAAATCCTGTGACCTCTCTGGGTGTCAGTTCTGTCACGTTCTGACCTAGCACTTGCTCAGGGCTCATCGAATGCCCACCTAGTGTGCAGAGTCCAGATTAACAAAACCGAAAAGGCTGCTGCCCTCAGCGAGCCTCTGTTCTAGTCAGGAGAGCAGGCAGCGAATAGAGCTGTACCATACGGCCTGTAGTTACCTCTGTGAGGAAAAATAAGAATACAGGAATGGAGTGTGGTACAGCGGCTGTTTAGATAGCCTAGCTTCGGGGAGGTAGGTCTGGGCAGTTGAGTGACGTGAGGAGCGGCCTGCACGGTTTCTTAAGTTTCTAAGTTGTATGTTTGTGTCTTTGGTGATTTTCTCACACCCACTGTTAAGTGTCTTTAGTATCCACTTGATTTGCTATTTGTAAGTTTTCTCTGATTTGGTACCCAATCAGATAACTGAGCGTACACAGAGAAGTCTGATTCTTAGAGTTTTACCTTGGCTGGCGATGCGCTCTGTAATTAGGCTTACAGAGCTCAGGTCAAGGCACCATCGAAGGCACGCCTAACTAATGCAAGGTGGCTGCAGATGATTTTTGTTTGTATCTGCTGAGGTTTTAGCATATTTTCTAGTTTAGAGAATATAAAGCAAGTAACACTGATCTTATTAAAAACAAGCAGTTAATCTATGTTTACCTTGCTATGTGTAGGAGCTTTGTGAGTTCCAGACCATCTTACCTTTGCTCGTTCTAGTCTCTGATGCTTAAATTTTACAGTTCATCTCCAAATTTAATCAATCTTTAATATTTGCACACACATCCAAATTAACTTCAGGTAAGTTTCCTGTTGTTGCTATTAAGAACATTGCTTATTTTTTATAGCACCTTTTGATTTGTGCTCCAATGAAAGGAATTGTTCCAGAGTAAGTTAAAAAAAAATCATAGAATAAGTGGGGTAGTGGTGACACATGCCTTAAAACCCAGCACTCAGGAGACAGAGGCAGGTGGATCTCTGTGAGTTCGAGGCCAGCCTGGTCTACAGAACAAGTTCAAGATAGCCAGAGCTACAGTGAAACCCTGTCTTGAAAAACCAAAACTAACTAAATAAAAAATAAAAAGTTAAAATAAAATAAAAAAGTAGAATATTTTCTAAGCATAATAAGTATTATTGTTGGAGGGTTTGCAATAATGCATGGTCTTTGTGCCATTTGTTAACATAATTGAAAATTTAAAAAATATACTTTAGATCAATATTAAATTAGATGTTTTTTTCTATATGTGCCATTGAACTTTTGCTAGAAGAAACAGCATGAAGTAAAAGAGTTAAATGAGTTGTGATGACACATGCGTCTGTCTGTGTCCTTTTATTTTTTTAAATCTCTTCCGAAGTCATTAACACCAGTCAACAGAAGTGTCTTTAAGATTCAGTCTCATTTGTCCCTTTAGGAACCTGTCAGTCCTGCTCTTTCAAGTTGCCAGGGCTGAGTTGTGAAAGGCAATCCAAGTTCTCATCTGTCTGGGCGGCCTTTGTCACTTCCTCCCTCCTTTAGATGTTGGGAGTGAGAAAGTAGTCACATCAGAAAGAATTTTTTCAGCTTGTTTCCTCCTTTCCCGTGATAGTAGAGCTTTCCCCGCACCTGAGAACTGGTGATTCATGAGGAATGAAGAGTGTCGAGGTATCACTGAGTTCAAGGAAGGAGCTGAAGAAAGAGCACTAATAATATTTGAGAATATTTTCCATGTATGAGACATTGTGCTGGAGACCCCAAGAAGCATGCACCCTAATTTATTTGGCAGTGCATAAACTGTAGGTGGGAGACTTGACTGCCATTTGAGAGGAGACTGACTGAGAGAAGATTCAGCAGCAAATGTGGAACATGTTGTAGAGTAATAAGAACCTGAGGTTTAGTAATTTGAAAATCATCTTACAGGAAAGCAAGCATGTAAATGAAGTAATTAATCGTAGATTTTGATGTTTGTGTGGGAGTGGAAGAGGCCCTGGTCTCTACCCCAGAGTGCTGGAATTGCTTAGATTAAGTAGTAGAACATATGTGGTATAGAGGCCCTGTGCAGGAGTGTTTAGGAATCTAGATTTTGGCACTAATAATTTGTATTTCACTTAGCAAATATTTTTCAGGTATGTACTTCATGCCGGATCCTGTTCTAGGCATGGAGAAGATACAAGATCTTATCTTGTGAAATTTAATCATGGGGTCAGGTAAACAGTGATGACTACCTGCTACACTGGGAGTAGCACACGCTCTGGTAAAGTAAAGGTGTAGGAAGTAAGTCTTCACAGACAGGGTGTCATTTGAGCTGAAATTTTCCAGGGCAGTACCTGAGCTCCAGAAAGAGTTGAAAGAGCCAGGAACAGGGAGGGTGCTTAGAATATCAAAGGGACAGCAGGGAGGCCACTGTGCTGGAGCAGAGGAGGGGAAGAAAGGACGCCAGAGGAAGGTACTGGATTCTGCTTGTTATAAAGATGTTGGATTTTGGCTGGGTCTGGCAACCTGTAATCTCAGCTACTTGGCAGTCTTAGGGAGAAAGATCACAAGTTCAAGGCCAGCCTTGGACTATAGAGTGAATTCAAGGGTGACATGGGCTGCTTAGTGAGGCCAGCTTCAAATGAAGAGTCAAATGAGGACAGAGGATAGTGTTTGCCCTGGCGGATTGGATAGCCTTTAGAATGCTACCTTTGCAAAAGGAGCATCTTTAAAAAGGGGACCTTAGCAGGGATTCCGAATAAGCTCAGGGAGGTGGATAGAAGGAGCAGCGTGAGTATTTAGGAGACTTGTTTTAATTCATTGAGGCCTGAGTTAGAGTGGGTGGTAGCGGAGAGTTTTTTTGCATGTACATTTTGCTGGCATATTATTAGAGTAGGCAGTATAGTAGATAGACAGGAAGGTAACTAGCCAGGTGTGCTGAGGGATAGAATATGAGGTTTGAGGAAAAGGGGACTGAAAACGATCCAAATGCATTGCTACTGAACATCTTCGTAAGATAGCTGATGTTTACTGAGCATTTAAGTGAAAAATGTATGAACTTTTAAAATGACCATTTTTTGTTAATTATGGTAATTATTTCCCATATCATGAAATGCAGCAATGGCATAGACCTGTTAATAAATCCATACTCTAAATTTACTATTATATTTCATGCCCATAATATATATTTGCCAAAAGTCTGACCTCTTAGAGCCTTAATATCCTCCTGGTAAGATGAGAATATAATAAATTTCCTTGTGAGGATGAAGTGAGATTATTCTAAAATACCTATGTGCTTGGTCTGTAAGTCAAGTAGGTGCTGGGAATGGTGGGAGATGCATGATGTTCCTTTTTACTCCCATTTATTGCCTTCGAGAAAAGGATAATCTTTAGTCATACGTTTACCTTGAATCAGAGCATGATGGTGCCTTCTGAGACCATGAAGTCTAATATTTTGGGTCTGGTGCTGGCACCAAAGCCATGTAACAGGAATGGTAGTCTTTTGTGTCTGCTCAAAACATTGGTTCTATACTACAAATGTACTTGCTTTTCTCAGCAGCCCACCGTGTGGCTCAGCTCTAGTGGATACTGTCACTTAGCTTTGCACTACAGCTTGACACTAACCATGTTACAAAACTAACCACCTGTTTTAACTTTTTCTCTAAACTACTTTAAGTTTGGAACAAATGGACCCTCATTATATCATTTTGTGAATAGGTTTTTAGTAGTATTCATATCCTTGATAATTTCATAATCTTTAACTATACTTTGGAGGGATTACAGGGATTTTACTCTTTTAAAGCATAT